TTTTTTTTTTTTTTTTATATAAAAAATATATATATATATATATATATATATATATATATATATATATGCATGGTTATACATACATTTTATATATTTTATGCCATTTTTATTTGATTTGAATAATATCTGTCTGATGATTTAACTGCATATTTGATTTTTATCGTCTCAGGTTCACAGACAAAGCAGTGAAGGAGTATGCTGTCTACCGCTCACCACTTCTCTTCTGGGGTCTGGTGCATCTTGTCTTTGATATGTTCAGGGTATGAGAATGTGTTCTTTTTTGCTGTTCCTCACACTTGTGTGTGTGTCATTTCTAATAAGTTCATGTTTCCATGAAATCTCATTTTATCTGTCTATTCCCACAACAGAAAGTGCCCACCAGTAACACAGAGGGAGGCTGGTCCTTCTCGCTTGCAGAGTACATAAGGCACAATGACATGCCCATCTATGAGGCTTCAGAAAGGGTGTTGAGGGCTTTCCAGGATGAGCTCATGCCTGCTGAATCCTTCTCAGAGTTCCTGGATGTCGTAGGTCAGACATTTTAATACATTTTCCTGCCATGTACTGAACACACAGCTCTGCCGGAAGTAATAGGCAGTGTTGGAGCTATACAATAATGTGGCTGCACAAAATATTAATCTCTTGTACTGACTCTTTTCCCAGGTCTTCTGTCAGACATCCCAGACCCTGACGCCTTCCTGCAGGACCTGTTGAACTCTGTGCCCTGATGGCACACATTTATGCACCTCACTTATGGACTCGTGAGCTCTCTGTCCAGTGCAGGTGTTCCTTAAACACGGAGTCTGTCCGCTACCCGGACACAGCTATTCGCAACTCCATAAGGACGCCTTTCAATCGGGGCCCAGGCTCCCAAAACTTCTATCAGCTCGCATACACACTCATTCACCTCCACTTCTGCTCTTGATCTCCGCGTGGGTTCATTGTTATAACTCTCTCCTAAACAAGAAAGTGACGTGTAGCCTGACGAGTTAATGCGTATTTACTCTACAATGGTTTTGTAACACCTAATACACACAAACACCATGCTGTTTTGATCCGACATTTTGCAGGTAATCTTCATAATTCATAAACAACCTTAATGGCTTTTATTTTCCCCCTTGTTTTTTTGTTTTGTTTTATGGTGGTTTTTGACTCCAGTTCTAAATTGCCTAAGAAGCATTAGCTTATTAGGTTTACATTGAAATTGTATTAATTAAATGCTTACATTTTTTTGTAATCTGTCTATCTCAGGGGATACGTCGCCCTTTCAGGGGTATAAATCAAGAGATAAAAACATAAATATACTCTGTGATTTTGAGGCAAGTGTTTTAGAAAATCAAATCTTTTTGTAATCTTGACAAAACACATATCGTTGGAAAGGTCTGACAGTCAAGGTTCCATATTTGGTGACTGTTTTGTAATAGAAGAGATATTGTGACAGAAAACTGCATCAAAGAAATCCAAGAGAGTTTAGGTGTCACCCAGTGGTTATTTTTGGTATAGTGCCCAAACAAAATCTCACAGGAACCACAATTTTGGTGATATCAACTTCAGATTTGGAACATAACTTGGTTAGACATATGGCTTAGATTTTATAGCAATTTGAAGTGCAACATATTTTGTATTTTTATTTTATATACAATTAAAAAAGAAATTGTATACTGCATTATCTTTACTGCAAACTTAAACTACTATAACTTTTTTTTACTTTGAAATGCTTTCACTTCAGCAATAATCTGCTATGTGTCTTCTTTAAAAAGAGACCAACCTTAGGTCTGTATTCCAAAGAGTTCAGGAATTACAACCATGTTGTAACAAGCATTGATAAACAAGTGTTCTGTTTTCAGTTCATTTATACCCCAAACTGGCAACGTATCCTGTGGGATACAAACATTATAATCAAAATTAAAAGTCAAGTTTTTTTTTTTTAAATGATCAAGTTGTATTATTTGTGTCCCAATAAGATGGAAAATAGCAATACATTTATTTTCTGATGTCTCTTTATGGTCTTGCCATTTTTAGGGTTTAAAGGGCGTGTCTTACAGCCACAGTAGCCAATGCGACTGTTACTGGAGTGCGGAGCGGACATGTCTTCCTCTCCTCCCGTTTCCTCCGGCTGGTGCTCCCAGACTGGGCTGAAACCTGAGTCTCTACGGCAAGTTGAGACTAATAACCGGCCCGTTTAATCATCAGGGGATGGTGGGAGGGCAGCTGTGAGTTCATGAAATGTGTGCCGGTCAATGCGCTTTATCCGACCGCTAGAAGCGCGACTATGGCCTATTATTTGTGTGACATTAGATAAAGGGAGTGCACCTTGCGTCCGAGAGCATGGAGGTGACGTATGCTGCTTTACAGCATCTGCAGTTTGATGCATAGAAACACTGCTCACGAATAAAGATGGATTTACCTCGTCGTTTTCCGGACCCGCTTCTCAACCCGATGTTGTTTAATGAATCCGCGGCACCCGTCGGTATGAATGAAGCGTGTGCGGCTAGGAGCGGGTCCGGCGCTATGGCAACCAGCGCGTTGAGAAACGATTTGGGCTCCAACATTCATGTGTTAAAAACACTAAACCTCCGCTTCCGCTGCTTCCTTTCCAAAGTCCACGAGTTAGAGCGCAGAAACAAGTTATTGGAGATCCAGCTGCAGCACGCCCAGGAGCAATCCCGGTACCGACTGCTGTTTTCCCGGGATAAAGCGGTCCAGACGAACCTCGAGCTGCCTTACTCAAACGCACTGTGTCCGTCGAGACTCCCCGGTAGAATCTGGAGCTTCTCACACACCGCCCGATACGGAGGACGGTTTGAGACGCATCAGGGGCCTGGGGTGGCCTGGACTCATCCAGACGGTGTCGGGGTTCAGATCGACACCATCACACCTGAACTCAGGGCCTTGTACAATGTTTTGGCCAAAGTCAAGCGAGAGAGAGACGAGTACAGGAGAAAGTAAGTCCAGCTCGAGCTTATATTTCAAGTGTTTGTCTGCAAAAATTTCTTCATCAACAATTTTCTTTTAAATCAAGAAATAATATTGTAATTAGAATGATTATTGTTACTATAAAACATTGGTAACTTGATATTAGTTACCACTGTTATCTACAGTCATCCACTGTCTGAAACATAAATCAAAGCTTGTTATAGGCCTATTAATTGGAGATGCCATATTACTTTACAGTGGTTTTACTAACTGTAACACTGTGTTATGGTTACTATGATATTTAACTTTGGCCAAAACTGTGCTTACCATTAGAAATAGAGCAATAATTGGTTTGACCAGACCAAAATATTAAATAATGGCTATTATTTACCGGAATGTCACCTGTTTAATCTATTGCTTAAATTATTCAGCTTTTATCTAACAGCCACTGATCAATAATAATAATAATAACAAGCAAAGCAACCAAAATCACAGTCACAAAACAGCTTTGAATAAATGTTATATTATTATCATTATTACAATTATTTTTAAATTAAAATAGTTGTTTGTTTATCTGCATATTCCCAACAGGGAATGTTCTCAGAACTTTGGTGAATGTAAGGTCGGGTTATCTGGGGCCAGTTGCATAAAAAGTTTAGACTGGTCTTACAAGTTAGTCATCTAATTTTTTTCTTTAAAGGGGTGCTTTTACTTTGATAAAGAATATCTCTTTGGTTTTGAGACTTTAGTCTTTGCAACTTCAGGGATCGTATCTATGCACAATCAGCTTGTAACACTCCAAAGAGAAAGGAAAACTTGAAATCGCATCATATGACCCCTTTAAGACTAGTCATAATTTTTTTTTATTCAGTTACATAAAAGCATAATTAGTTAATTCCAAAAATAAGAGTGATTACTTATTGACTTACTGATAGTTGGTCAAACTCGTTTCTTAAGACACTGTTTTAATAAAGGTGACCTATCATGCCCCTTTCTACAATATGGTAATGTAAGTCTCAGGTGTCCCCAGAATGTGTCTGTGAAGCTTCAGCTCAAAATACTCCACGGATCATTTATTATATCATTTTGAAAATGTCTATGTGATGAGTGGGGCGGGGCCGAGAGCCGTGGGATCGGAGCAAGGCCAGTGGAGTAATTGATAATGAGCGACACCTGCGCCAATGTAACACAGTTTGTAGTCACAGGAAGGAGGAGTCGGGAACCGGCGAACATTTAAACCATTTAATAACAAAATAAACAAACGCAAAAGTAAAGCGGCAGCCCCTCACTGACGACTGCCGCACACAAAACACAAAATAAAATCCAGGCCTGGTCCTCTCTCGTCTTGCACTGTCTCTGTTTCTGTCTTGGACTCCCATAGCCTATTTTGAGAGGAAGCAGAAACATGCTGTTTTCATGCATGTATCTTTAAATGCAAATGAGCTGCTGCTCCCCACCCCCTTTTCCAAAATATGGCTGTTCCTTTACAGCTCTTATGACAGATACTCATAAAAAAACAAACATCTGTTTGGTTTTGATTATCATGTCTATCGCGCTGAAATCATGCGTTTTAAAGCCACATTATTTTAAACTTCTGATATAGTGTTTTCTGAGCGCACAGAAAGCAGCTGTCACACATGTGAGTACTAAACTAATAGGGATTCACTTTAGGGATGCAGCGATTAACCGGTTTCGCGATTAACTGCGCTTTAAAACGTCACGGTTAATTAATCGTAAAGGTTCCGCTAAACCGAGTGTTTCTGTTACACGGAACGGTATTGTTGCAGCTTGCGCAAAACGAAAAAAGTTACACTAGTGGTGCACCAGCTTAAAATGACGTGCTTATCAGAGGCACGGAGGCTAATACATGCATTAGATGAACTGTGACAGAGGGACCAAACAGCGAAGCTTTATTTCCACCAGAGAAACGCTTGTCGATAGTGTGGGACCATTTTGGGTACACCAAGAATGACCAGGGTGTCATTTAAATATTGCTTTAAAAAACTGCTGCTAAAGAGTGAATACATAAGAGATAATGCACGGCTTGCTGTACATTGAACGATTTTAATACACGACGTGAAGATAAGAACCACCTGACGTGAAGCTACAGCTCGCTAGCTCCGCATTCTGCCCGCTTCAGATCAGAAAGTGATGAAATAGTGCGGTAACGGTCGTCCATAAAATGCATTGCTGTTCTGTTGCACAATCAGCTTGTAACACTCCAAAGAGAAAGGAAAACTTGAAATCGCATCATATGACCCCTTTAAGACTAGTCATAATTTTTTTTTATTCAGTTACATAAAAGCATAATTAGTTAATTCCAAAAATAAGAGTGATTACTTATTGGCTTACTGATAGTTGGATCACAGTAAGCCACAATATCACATTTATTTGAATTAATTAATTATAACATTTAGCTACTTGAATTAATTATTCGAGAGAGAGAGAGAGAGAGAGAGGTGACAGTTGCCTGTGTGAATTAGCCTACCAAAAGAGAAATACTGTCATGGATGTTTACAGAGCAGAGGTCACCTTTTTTTAATTCCAATGGGAAAGAAGGACTTTTGTTTGTCTTTTCTATTATTTTTTTTTGCTGTATTGTTGGTTACTGTGTTATTTCTGTTTCAAAAGCCAGCAATAAATAACACTTTATTATCTAAAGAGTGTTCATGTGATTTTATACATTAGTAATGTTGGGAAATTAATAAATGCATAATAATCATCATAATCGTAAAACCGTGATTATTCCTCAGACAATAATCGTACCAACAAAATCTATAATCGTTGCATCCCTAGTTCACTTTCATGTCTTATCGCGCTTAAACTGTCAAATACACAAAAGTTTGTTAAAAACACATGAGTTACAAAAACAGTCTGTTATGTCTGGTAAACAGCTGGGAAAGAAATTGCATGTTTATATTAGATCTGTGTGGCAGCAGTGTAATATACTGTAAATAAATATGTAAATACTTTTAAAGGCACAGCGCTAAACGCTAGAACTGGTACCCCGTTGTTGCTTGCGAAAACAGAATGGCGGCGCGCCGGCGCCATGAGTGGAAACATGCAGATAAAGGGGCGGTGAAAATCCAACATCACACAGGGAGTGAAATCCAACATGCTCGTTTTTTCAGATGCTTGCAGAAAAGGCTTACCAAAACAAAGTTACTGGATTAATCTTTTTCACATTTCCTGGGTTGGTAGATGCACCAGGGACCCGATTATAGCACTTAAAACCGAAAAAAGTCAGATTTTCATGATATGTCACCATAAAGGCTAAGCTTATGCAACTGGCCCCTGGTCTTTAATAATGTTCTCAAAACTTAACTATTAACTATAACTAATTCATATCCTAATGGGAATGTTAGCAACACATTCTTGGAACATATTTTTGTTAGCTGGGTTATCAAATACTTTAAACAAAATAGCCCTTCTCATTCTAAAAACAAAAAGTTTGCCCCCTGTGTGTTCATAGTAAACAAGAGTGTGTGTTTCCTTTCTATTTTATGCGACTGTCCCTGAGTTTTTTTTTTCAGTGTCTTAACAGTAAGGCTCTATCAGTAACCCATGTATGTTCTCTAGTATCCCATTACAAAGTGTCTAGTTTGGATATGAAACCTGAGAAAGCAGGGATGACATCTTATCTGACAGAAACTATTTGCTTTTTTTCTCTCCTCCAAATGGGGATCTGTGCAAACCCATCCCATTCAATAGGAGTTTGTGGGATCTGTCCTAGAACTACAATAGAATCTCTTTACAGTTTTTCTTTTTCTCTTTGGGGACTAATAATTATAGTTATTGGTCCACGCAATACACTTCCACCCATTTTATGCGGGTTTGCTTGATACATAAGGAATTTCCCCTGATTATATTTTCTTTTTGACTCTTTGATGCGTGTCATTCAGTTCATTTTCTGTTTCAACCATTTAATTTTGTCATGTGCAGTAGCAATGGACCAATGCGTGTTGATTTAGAAGATACATTTCCTGTTCTTGTTGCTATAGGATGCTTGATTTATGTGTCTGTTGCTGGGAAAGTGATGAACAAAACATTTGTGCCAAATTCCTTGTTTCTGACCTGCAGCCGGCAGTGTGGGGGCTCATTCATTGCTCAACACAAATGAGTTACTGTAACTTTAAGGCATTTCTGGTCATCTAGAAACCCCAGACTCACAATAACTACAGTAACCCTGAGATGCTTTTGTGTTTCTCAGACTGTTCCTCTTGGCTGTGCTGCTATTTTAGTTTGTGTCAGTGGCTCTGTTGTAATAATAATTTAAACGTCCGGCCATAGAAGGCCCATAGAGGCTTTTCTCGTCTGCCAGAACAGATGTAGACTGTCTGTGAGAAGAAGCGGACAAATGAGCCACACAATGATTCATTTCCAGATCTTGAGTGAGCTGGAAACCCCACTTTATAAAGAGTGCCTGTATCCTTTGATTATTCAGTGCTTACAATAGCCATGCTGTTAGGAATGGGATATTTTTGAGATAAATAATTGAGCACCTACTAGTCATATGTTTGTCTGTCTTTGCTTAAGTGGCCAAGACAAAATTAACTATTTTTTGCATTGCTGTCGACTCATGTTTGTTTTGGCTGTCAGAGTGTCACAGTAGCAGCCGGTCAGTTAGGATGGATGTTGGTGGTCTGTTATATTAAATGCGATCTGAGACAGGTGGAAAATGTGGCATCAGGCTCATATGTAAATACTGTCTCCTAGGAAATAATTTAAACAAATGATAAACCAGGCATAGGCTTGGCAAAATTAGGCATAGGCTTGGCAACAGGCTGAATGTTTTGAGTAGCTTGTGTTCTTTAAAGTACAAAGTAACTTGGAGCCAGTATTGGTAATTAATTGGTATCTTCTTTGCATTTCTAATGAGGATTGATTGAGGCTTTTTGCCAAAGATTTGATTGCGTTTTTAAATCATATTTATTTATCCACATATATGAATGTTGTTCTTGGAGAAATTTTATCATTTCTAAACTCTAGCTTTGATTAAACACATGCCAGATTTCAGAGAAATACACTG